GCAAGCGCTCTGTCAAGCGTTCGGTGAAGCGCGGCAACTCGTCGGCCTCGTCGGCCTCGGAGGACAGCGGCAGCGACAGCGACCGCCGCAAGCGCGCCGTCAAGCGCGGCAACTCGTCCGCCTCGTCGGCCTCGGAGGACAGCGGGAGCGACAGCGACCGCCGCCGCAAGCGCACCGTCAAGCGTTCGGTGAAGCGCGGCAACTCCTCCGCATCCTCGGCGTCTGAGGACAGCGGCAGCGGTAGCGACAGCGACCGTCGCCGCTCGGTGGCCACCAAGGTCAAGGTTGCCAAGCGCCGCCTGAGCTTCAAGAAGCGCGACAGCGACTCGGACTCGGCCAAGTCGGCCACGTCGGGCTCGGACTCGGACTCGGACTAGGCTGCGCGCCGTGCAAGTGTCATGGCCAGTGGACCATGTTAGGAAATTGAAAGTTTAGACAAAGCGAAATAGCAATCACGTTAGCAGTTATGAATCAGTTCCCACGAAGCGGGCAGTGGGCGTTGATTGCGAGCGCGGGATTGGGGCGCAAGGAGGCGGTGCCACCAGCAGACTTGGGTAGCGCTTGTCGGGGTGGCTGAGGTGACCCCTGGGCTCGCACTGCAGGTGGTGTACGGGGAGTGGAGGCCTACCCAGGCCAGCATTTCGATCAACGAGTGCTCCGGAAGATCAACGAGGGCTGCGGCAAGCAGGCGCTGATGCACGCCTGAATCTCATCCCCGTGCGTTCTGCACTGTCCGTGCACTGAAAGGCTGAGGTAACAGTCATGATGCCGCCCTCCTGCGGTACTTGCAGATAAGAATGAGTTTTGCAGAGCCGACCGTCTGAATGAGTTTCGCACAGACCCGACCTCACACCGCCATTCGAGACTTGATGCATTGCTTTGACTGTTGGACACCTACAGTTGGGTACTTCTGAAACCTACATGTGCCTATCCTTCACTGGAGGTGTGACACCTCGTTCTCGTCGATGACGACGGTGTGGATGTGCCCCTCGTCCTCGGCAAACTTGGCGATGTTGGAGACGATCGCCGACGAGCCGCTGAGAAGCACGATCTCTGCGTTGCTTGGAAGCGCCTCGATGAGCGACAGGAAGCTGTTGAGGTATCGCTGTGGCGAAGGCGACGCTGGCGAGTCGGGGTACCCGTCGAAGTCGAGGTCGCCGGAGATGGTCATGGGCTGCTGCTTCTTCCAGGCGCTGCGGAACTTGTCGATCCACTCGGCGGCGGCGGGGTCCTCGCCTGTCGCTTTGCGCTGGTGTGAGCACAGCCATGAGCATGCAGCCGAAAGACTCACCTGCTGAATGCGCTCGCCGATGGCCTCCTGTGTCTGGGTGAGGCGAGAGTCGACGCCGTCGTTCAGGTGCAGGAGCTCGTTCATGACGGCCGACGCTTGCTTGGCTCGCTCGGCGTCGGCTGCGTCGGCGGCGCGCGCCTGGAAGCTCTCCAGCACCCAGTGCGTCGCTGGGTTGTCGACGTATGTGACGTTGTTGTCCTTGACTACCTTGACGCTGAGGGGGCCCATGCGGGCGAGCGCCAGGTGGTCGGCGATGAGGTAGGGCTTTGAGCCGCTCTTAATGAGGCCAGTGAGGCGCCGGAGCGTCTGTTGGATCTGCTGGTCGAGGGGGGCCATGGTGTGTACGAGTGGGTGAGATGTGATGGGATACACGGACGAGGTGGCCGTCTTAAGGCTGGATCTTCCGGGCGCGCGCATATACCGTCCGTCCAGTGATGTCGGTGACCGGCCTCGCCGGGGAACGGAGTGCGGGAGCGTGGAGTGGATATCAGCTGGCAGGCGTGGCCCGCAGGCAGGTGGACCAGCCGGGCCAGGTGCCAGAGCAGGTGGACTAGAGCCCAGTCGGCCTGTCCGTGTCGGGTGTGAGAGATCAGATGATGCCGGAGTGTCTTGTCCTTCTCATGACGTTACGTCATTTCAGCCAACCACAACAGTCGCCACTGGGTGGGCGGGTGAGTGCCTTGCGATGTGCCCACCAGCTCGTGGCAGAACAACAAACATGACAATGGAGGCGTCCTTCCGAGCTACACGCGTGCGGCTCATATGGAGATGCCGGTCAACGACCCGGGCGAGGAGTGCGCAAGCTCATGTTGATGATGAGAGCAACCAGCTTGGGGGCGCGACCTGAATCCGTATCTGGCCCACCCATTTACACTCGCCGGTGTCGATTTGCCACCTCTCTTCTGTTGCCTTCAGCTCACCGCCATGCGCCTCTCCCAAGCAAACAAGATCCTCTTGGGCTCCTGCCTCGTCGTCGTGCCCCTCAGCTTTTACGGCGGCCTCGCCATCAAGGAGCACTACCTTGCTGGCGAGCTGGACAAGGTCCCCGAGAGCAAGGACCTGGTCTCGGAGCGCGCGGTCAAGGCCCGCATCGTGCAGTGCGTTGGGGGAGGGATGAGCGTTGACCGCAGGCTGGAGCAGGAGCGCAAGGAGCTCATGGTCGAAGGCCGCGATCTTGACAAGAAGATCGCCGAGATCAAGGCGCGGCTGGCGGCCAAGTCATGTAGGTTGAGAGGGAGAGCGACGCTGAAATGACAGAGCCGCGTCGAGTCTCTGCTGAAGGCCGCATCTGCATTTGGGTCCGGCGTTTAGAGCATGCGCACAGTTGACGCGAAGATGCGCCATGGCCCACAGTGCAGGCTCATGGGAAGCGAGGAGCGACCTCGGCTGCTCGTTTAAGGCATCCTACATCACGCTCACGATGCCCCCTCTACCACTGCACACTGTTGTACATCACATACACATGCATATGGACCTCACATCTGCCGTTAGCAACCATGCCCAATCGCGCGCACACAGACTACTCACCATCATGCGCATGTACGCTAGCAGGAGTGCGCCAGAACCGGTCGCGACGCCGACGAGATACTGGAGGATGGAGAACTTTGCCTGTTCGATCTGCGTGCGGAGGCCGGCAATCTCGCTCTCGATGCGCGTGTCGACCTCCTTGATCTTGAGCTCCTGCTGTGCGGCGTCGTCCTTGAACCGGCCCTTGTCGACGTTGAGATCGAGCCGCACCCCGGCCTGGGTGCGCGTGATCTCCTCGCGGAGGCGCTGCTTGAGCCGCTCTACGTCAGCCTGCAACCGCTCGTTCTCGGCCTTCATGAGCGTGAGGTCGTTCTTCTCGTGCAGTTCGAGCTCGCTCTTGAGCTGCGCAAAGTCGACGTTCTGCGTGTACCGCTGCTTCTCCTGTGCGCTCTTGGACACGAGGCCGGCCTCGGTCGTGCGCACGCTCTCGTCGATCGCCTCGGCGAGCACATTTGAGAGTCCCTCGGCCTGCTCCGCCGTCATCCCATGCTCCTGCAGCCGTTCCACGAGGAGCTGTGTATCGAAGTGTGCGGCTGGCACTGCGCGGGATGGATGTAGCCGTCGTCGTGGTGCGTGGTTGGGGGCCGGGAGCTGGGCTTGGGCGATGGCTCACGTCAGCATGTCCACGCAAGAGAAAGCTCACCGCGCGCAAGGAGCGCGCCCGTTCGGGACGTGGAAGGCTGGGCGAGCAGCGCAGCAAGCATGTCGGTTAGTTTGTGCGGTCGTGCGAGGGGTCGATGGGTGTTGTGTCAAAACACGCAAGGTCACGCTTGCAACTCGATCACATGTGGAGATGCAACGCGTCACCGATCACCGGGGGACGCCGACGACCGCCGAAACAGCCACGCAACGGGCCGTGGGGAACCCCTCACCCCACGCAACCACCATGCACAGCCGCCGCCGCCACCACCACCGCCGCCACCGCTGCTATCGCAGCCGCCGCCATCATACAACATTCATGCTTTAGATATGCAAGGTAGCAAGATAACAACTGTGGGATCGATTCTACTCGCGCTCAATGTCCTCGAGGTCGGGTGTGCGGCGCACGACCTTGTTCTCGTTACGCGCGTGCTTGCGCAGCCTGGGTCAGCTCGGCGCGGCGTCGCGGTCTCACTTATCCAACACCTCGCTGTCGTGCCAGCGCTTGGGCGCGTCCCGCTTGCCGACGGCCCACGAGTAGATGTCGGCGTCGGGCTCGGCGAGGAGGCGGTCGAACTCGCGCATCTGCGGCAAGCTCATGCTGGGGAGGAAGTCGCGTGCAAACGTCGAGAGGAGGAGGCCGCTCTCGAGCGAGCTGCGCTTGCGCGACTGGTACGTGAGGCGGGCGCGGAGCTTTGCGGGCGTCTCGCCGGCGCGGGCGGGCGCGTGTGCGAGCGCGTCGACGGGGCCGCGCGGGGCGGGTGGCGGGTCGAACGGGCGCGGGAACGGGTCGAACGGGTTGCTGGAGAGACGTGCTTGCGCAGCGCAGGAGGTTGCGAGGCCGCAGCGCAGCGCGGGGAGCGGGCGCGCGAGGCAGAGACTGGGGCGGAACAGTGTGGCGGACATGTGGATGGTGTGGAGTAAGCAGTGGCACGATCGGTGGTTGGGGTGATCGGCGTGTGGCGAGGCGGAGATCGGGGGGGTGTCCGTTGCCACTCGATGTCAACGCCGACGCCGTGGCGTGTGAGAGCGCGGTGTATTACGCAACGCGAGTCGCGAATGCATCGGGGCGTTGGGCTGAGAGACGCCCGTGTGCACAGCGAGTGACAGCAGCTCAGTGTGCTTCAGTCGCTGGACGCGTGCCATTACAAGCCCCGCCTCTGCTGCAATCTCGGATGTCGGCACGTCGCCGGATTGTCGGCCATTTCCGGCCATTCCCGCCAACGTCTCTCGTTTTGCCCACTCCCACCACCCTCTCACTCTCGACATGCGGCCAAGCGTCGTCCACCTCGTCTCCCAAAGCGTCCCGCGCCGCATATCTCCCCGCTCGTTCTACATGCTTAGATACCACAAACGGACAATGGCGACTGCGCGCGAGCCGGACGTGACGGCCGAGTTCGGGGGCGAGCGCAACGTCGCTCAGCTGCACAAGATCAGCCGCGACTTTCGGAGTAGGTCTCCTCGTGAGCGCGACGCCTAACGGCAGGCGACACGCTGACGGTGCCGACGGATGCGCAACTGCGCGCGGCAGCGACAGCGACGCGCGGCGACGACGTGTATGCCGAGGACGCGGATGTGTGTGCGCTCGAGCGCCGCATCGCGCTGCTCGCGGGCAAGGAGGCGTGCCTCTTCGCGGCGAGCGGGACGATGACGAACCAGCTCGCGATCCGCTCGCACCTCGTGCAGCCGCCGCATGCGGTGCTCGTCGACGCGCGCGCACACGTGCACCAGTACGAGGCGGGGGGGATCGCGCTGTTCTCGCAGGCGACGACACACACCGTGTCGCCGAGAGGCGAGCACATGACGGCCGAGGAGGTCGAGGGCGCGCTGCAGCTCGGGAGCGACGTGCATCGCGCGCCGACGCGTCTCGTCTGTCTTGAAAACACGCTGAGCGGCATCGTGTTCCCGCAGGCCGAGATCGTCAAGATCGCCGCCCTCGTCCACGCCCACGGCATACCGCTGCACCTGGACGGCGCGCGCGTGTGGAACGTGGCCGCGCGCGCGGCGGACGAGCGCGGGCTGGGTACGGGGGAGGACGCACTGCGCACTGTGCTGTCCGACCTGCTGGCGCCGTTCGACAGCGCGTCCCTCTGTCTCTCGAAGGGTTTGGGTGCGCCGATCGGGAGCGCGCTCGTCGGCCCAAAGAAGCTCGTCGACCGCGCGCGCTGGTTCCGCAAAGCGTTCGGCGGCGGGTGGCGGCAGGCCGGCAGCCTGGCCGCCATGGCGGACCATGCGATCACGCACCACTTCCCGCGCTTGGCGGGGACGCATGCGCTCGCGCGCCGCCTCGCGGCAGGCCTTGAGGACGCGGGGTATACGCTCGCCGCGCCTGTGGACACGAACATGGTGTTCTTTGAGCCGCCGCGGGGCATTACGGTCGACGCGGTGGGGCAGGCGCTCGCGGCGCTGCCGGACCCCATTGCGATTGCGGGCAACCGGTGTGTGCTGCACCACCAGACGAGTGCGGCGGCGGTGGACGAGTTTGTGGAGGTTGCGCGTCGGCTGGTGGAGGAGGCGGGGGAGGTTGGGGAGGGCCGGGAGGGGCGAGAGGGGCCGGAGCGGAAGCGCGCGAAGCTGGGCTACTAGACGGGCGAGGGCTAGTAGACATGTGCGGGCTACTGGATGCGCAGGGCGACTAGATGCACTGGGCTACTAGAGGGGTGTCGCAGAAGCGAGGGCGGCGCGCCAAACTATGCCACTACATCTGGAGACGCTGGAGATGCTGGCGACGCTGGTGACGCTGGCCTTATGCATGATGGTGTACGACGTGGGTAGCATGGACGCATGGTGTTGTCGTTCTGCCGATCTGCAGGCAGGGTTAGAAAGCATGGAACCGCAGTCGGCACGGCGCCGGTGATAGCCGAGAGCCGACATTCCACGATCTGGAGTCGACGCTTCTGACTCGGACAGGTGACTTGTGACTTGTGACTTGTGAGCTTGGACAGGATATAAACCGATCGTCTGCTGTCTCTAGACGTCCTCGTGCACGTCGGAGCAACCTCTCTCCCACCCAACAATGTGAGCCGTGTCTCTCACTTCACGAGCCACCCCGCCCACGCCCACGCTCACGCCAGCCCTCTTAGCCCCCACCATGATCCACGTCGGCCTCCTCCTCTTCCCCGGCGTGCAACAGCTCGACATCATTGGGCCGCACGACGTGCTCACCGGCCTTCCGGAGGTGCAAACCCACATGGTCTGGAAGACGCTGGACCCCGTGGCGGCGTCCACGGGCCTGCGCATGTTTCCGGACACGACGTATGCCTCGTGCCCACCCCTCGACGTGCTCATCGTGCCGGGCGGCGGGGGGGTAAACGCGCTCCTGACCGACGCCGAGACGCTGGTCTGGCTGCGCGCGACCTCGCGGCGCCTCACGCACCTCTGCTCGGTATGCACGGGCTCGCTTATCCTCGCGGCCGCGGGCCTGCTGCGCGGCCGCCGGGCGACGTCGCACTGGCGCTTCCGCGAGCTCGTCGCCGAGGGCGGCGGCATCCCCGTCGCGGAGCGCATCGTCACCGACCGCGGCCAAGAGGGCACGTATACCGTCATGAGCGGCGGGGGCGTGACTGCCGGCATTGATTTTGCGCTTGCGCTCGCGGCCGAGCTGGTGGGGCAGGACGAGGCGATGCGGAAACAGCTGTATCTCGAGTATGCGCCGGCGCCGCCGTTCGAGGCGGGCGACCCCGAGACGGCGCCGGCGCATATTTTGCAGCAGTCGCTCGAGGCGACGGCGCCGAATGTCGCTGCGCGCAGGGAGAGTGTGCGCGCTGGGGTGGCGATGACGGCCAAGCTGGAGGCGGAGGGAAAGTAGATGTAGGCATGAAGCTGGGTATGTGGACTGAGAGTTGGACGGGGCAGCGACTGCCAGTCACTCAGAGTATGGCGCTTCGAGAACTGTTATGCTGTCGCGGTGGTGAACTGGGGCTTTGCTGCGAGCACGTCGAGCGCCGAGCGCCGAGCGTCGAGCGTCGAGCCCGTCGAGCGCCGAGCGCCGAGCGTCGAGCACACCGAGCGTCGCACGAGAAGCCCAGTAACAACCCCTCCTGGCTCTACGGAATCTCAGCCGAGACACCGCGCCCCCACGCTGGTCTTCCCGATCGCCGCGCATGGCTGCTCTGTCCACCAACCAACCCCGGTGCCGGCGGCTCGCTCCCGCCTCGCGAATCTAGGCATCAAACGTCTCTCTACTCGCTCCATCCTTCTGTGGTGAGGCACTGTCATGTGTACCTCATGCTCACCTAGTCGCCATGTTTGTCGTGCCACGCCAGTGCCTGCTGGGCGACGTGCGGACGATGCCAGGCGATCAGGCGATCAAGCGAGGACCCGACACCACGCGTCGCTTCGCGTGCCTGCCCTGTCCCGCCGGGCTGAGCTTGGATCGAGGGGATCAGGGATCAATGAAGTCAGGGTGCAGGGGAGCGGCATGTGCGCGCGTCGCACGTCGCGTGGAATGGGGGTGGGAACGCGGGGACAGTGACACAGACCCTCAATGGCGGCACCCCTTTTCCTCGGCCATCCTGCCAAGCCATGAAATCCTTAATCCGACCAAACATGCACACACCCACGCCCACTGCCACCCCCGTCGCCCCCGCCGTCAGTCATCAGTCGCTCGCCACCACTGCCGCCCCGCTCAACGTCCCGTCCCATCTCAAATACATGACCAGACTAGCCGGCCCGACCGCCAACCCCTTGCGGCTCCCGTCGAGGGGGCCGCAACAAGCGGCCGCCCATCAAGGGTGTTGAGTGCCGCCCCTACCAGAGGGTGAAAAAGAGGAAAAAGGCATACCGAATAAGTGTACGGGTGGGGAGAGGGAAAAAAAAGAGAAAAGGGGGGGGGGATGTCTACTCTGATACAAGGGAGTGACGTGCGCTAGTCGGCCAGCGAAGAGCGCGAGTTGGGGAAGGGGGAAGAGTATAAGATGCCAAGTGATCAGGCATCACACTCTAATAGTAGTAGTAGTCGTAAAGAAAGAGGGAATGCAAAGCGCGTACTAGCCGTACACGTTTAGAAGCCCTCAATCGTGACATCGTAGATGCCGGTGTTGTCGCCAGTGACGGCCGCAAAGGCCGAAGGCGAAAGGTCGAGGTCCTTGCAGCCACCGCCGGCGCACGAGTCGACAATCTGGACGCTGGCGCAACCGGCCTTGCCGCAGACGTTGACAGACTTGCCGCAGAGGCCAAGGTGGAACTCGGAGGTGCGGACGGCGGCAATGTAGTCAGAGTTGGAGAACTTGCGGTTGAGGGTGTAGCAAGCGACGGTGCCGGCCTCGAGACCGTGGTTCTGGGCGGGGTCGACGACCGAGTAGGTGGTGATCTGGCCCTGGCGGCCGCCGTTCGACTTGGGGGGCTCCTGCTTGGGGGGCTCCTCCTGCTTGGGGGGCTCCTCCCACTTGGAGGTGGGCTCGGGCTCGGGGGTCCAGGTCGACGAGGGAGTAGGCTCGGGGGTGGCCGAGGACGACGACGAGGGGGTGGGGGCGGCGGCGGCGGCGGCCGACGACGACGAGGACGAAGCCGACGACGACGAGACGGCCGAGGCCGACGAGATGGCAGAGGAAGCGCCGGCGACAGCGTTGTTCTGGACGGGGGCAGCGACGCCGTTGACGCAAGGCTCGTTCTCGTCCCACTCGTCAGTGGTGGCGGGGGCGTCGGGCTGGGGCTGCTTGTGCGAGTGGCCGTACTTGCGCTGGCCACCGTACTTGTGGCCGTGGCGACCTCCACCGCGGCGGCCGTCACCGCGAGCAGCCTCGGGGGTGGGGGCGGCGGCGACACCGAGGGTGAGGGCGGCGAGGAAGGCGAAGGTGGTGAACTTCATTGTTGGTTTTAGTTTGGGGAGGGGGGGAGTTTGGAGGTGGAGAACACAAAGAGTGACGGGAGAGTGTAGTAGAGGATAAATAGCTTGCCTGCAAGCTAGGAGAGTGTTGTTACGAGTGGGGGGGGGGGGAGATTGTTGACGGATGAAGAAGAAAGAGGAAAGAGGGGGTGAGGGGGGTTATATATGATGGGGAGGGAGAGAAAGAGGGTGGTCAGAGAGCGAGTGTGGTGTGGTGTGGTGGGTGGGTGCGAGGGCTGAGTGAGCTGGAGTGAGTGAGTGAGTGTGAGGATGAGAGAGAGAGAGGAAGGAAGGAGTGCGACGTGGGTAACGGGGGTAGGGGGGAGGGGGGGGACAAGGTGCGGGAGCAAGCAAGGACCAAGGACCCGAGTCCATCGCGATCCACCGAAAGGAGGGTGGTTGCGACATCAGGTTTGGAAACAGAGGTCACCTTGTTCAGGGCTCCCCCGTGATGAGGGCACACTCGGTCGGTCAAGTGTCAGGGTTTGTGTGCAGCACTCAGGATCTCCAAACGCGTCCAACCGCGTTTGCCCGCGTCTGCCGCCGCGTCTGCCGCGTGGTGTCCCGCCGTCTGGCACTCTCGAGTTGTGCCTTGAGAGTTGATGAAGATCCTGGAGCCGTAAACCTGCCAAGCCAAAGATCACAAGTGGGATGGATCCTCCGACTGCCTTTGAGGGCGACGCCATGGACGCCACGGGGTGGGACCTCCTTGCTTGCCTTGCTTGCCACCCCCGTCACCCCCCGATTCTTCCTCACCCTCTCCCTACCACGCCATAATGTTCCAGGCCTCTACAATAATCTCTTCCGAGGGTGGTGGTGGTGGTGGGTGGTTGAATCAGGCCTGGGCACGCTAAACGATTGTCACCCCCCGGTGTGTGTGTGCAGAGGGCGTAGAGGGGGGGCGGTGATGGTGCGGGCGATGGTGCGGGCGATGATGATGCACAGGACGAAAGGATGCAAAGGATGCAAGGGAGACCCAAGCCATACAAGCCAGACCCATCGCCCATAGCCCATAGCCCATAGCCCAAAGCCCCTCCCATGTCCATCCACCCCCCGCCCCAAGATCCACATCTGCCGATCCGTGCGGCGTGCGGCGTGCGGCGTGCGGCGTGAGAGCATGAGCGCAGGCACCACCACTCGCATCCACTCCACATCCAGGCCCAATGCACACCCAATGCACAACCCAAGACTCGCGGATCGCCCCAACCCAGCCGCCGAAGCATGACGCGGCAGGGGCAGGGGCAGAACATCCACCAAGCACCAAGCACCAAACACTCCAATCCCCCGGTCATTCTGGCCAAGCTTAACCCCATTATGCCTCACCCAAGGTTGTACAATAGTTCGCGCAGTCGCAGTGTTTGCATGTTTGGCCTTGACCTCTTGACCTCTCCCCCGCCCCGCTTTGCATCATGACGATAACTTTTACCCCCAACCCCCGAAATACGCTCACCCCGCCGCCGCCGCCGCCGCCGCCGCCGCCGCGCGCCGCTGATGCTCACGGCGTGCAGCATCTCGCCAAGCGTCTTCTACCTTCCATGCCTCCCTCCTCCCTCCCTCCAATATTAACCCGTCCCTCGGACCCGTCACTTCCCCCGTGCCCCTCCCACCTGCCAAACTTTCCCCTCCCCAAATACACGCCAAGCAATTGTGGCGTGGCCCAGGCCATTAGCGGACCCAAATTCGCCCTTGACTGCGCCCGCGCCGATCTAAGGCCCTGAGGCCCTGGTCAGAAGCACTATAGTCAGAGGCTAGGCTGGGCGATCAAAATTGTGTAGAGCTTGTGCAGGTGGACGGTGGAAAGGTGGACAAGCCGGAGACGGTGCAAGCTGCAAGCTGCATGGATTCGCAAGGATTTCGGGGGCTCCTGGATTGCTCATGTCCTCCGGAGGGATTCCGGGGGTGCATCAGTGATCAATGAGGCTTAGCTGCGCTAGGGTGTAAGTCGGACATGCCGACAAGTTGGCGTACTGTCGCGCATGTCCTGGACATGGCAAGCCTGGCCACGAGCTGTTCAATGTGGTCGTCTCAACGGCCATTCTTACCAGGTGGCGAACATCCCCGCCACATGCTCACCTCCACCTCTGCCTCATGCGGTCTTCACATGGCCTCCACATGGCCTCCACATGGCCTCCACATAGCATCCACATGGCCTCCACATGGCCTTCACATGGCCAGCGCCACCCACCTCCACATCTCCGGAGGCAAATCTCGGCCAAGTCCGTCCAACGTCCTGTCCGTCCACCGTCCAGTCCGTCCAACGTCCAGTCCGTCACTCCATCTCCAGCACCACCCACCCACCCCGCACCATGACCCGCCGCCCCCTCCCCCCCTGCCGCCCAGGCTTCAAAGACCACATCTACAAGGTCACGCACTCCGTCGAGCTCCCCATACGCGTGTGGCCGCCTCTGAAGCGGAAACGTGATGGATCCGTGCCCTGGTTGTTGTGGATTCATGGCGGTGGGTTTTGGTTGCGTGGGGTGTCGTGTGTTTGTGTGCGTGGGGCTGACTCGTCTCGTCGCTTTCGTCTGCGCTTGCCTGCTTGCTCTATCCTTGGCACACGCTTCCTCTCCTCTCCACTTGCTCATGCTCCTCCTCGCTCGCTCGCTCGCTCGCTCTCCTCGCGCTCGCCTCATTGCTTACTCTCCTCCTTGTCGGCTCACTCGCCTCTCCTCCTCTGCGCTGGCTCACCTCCCTCCCCACTCCCTCCCCACTCCCTCCCTACTCCCACTCCTTTTTCACCCACTCCCCTCTCCCACCCCCCTCCCCACCCACGGCCATACTCACCCATCTCACTCACTTTCCCCACTGACCCCTTTCGTCCTCCCGCCTGTCCCCCCCACCCTCCCCCCC